CTTATATATTGGATTCCCTTGCCACATACCTGAAAACTTGGAGTCTTTTCTACTGTACATGGATGTATGTGATGCTATGATTTTATATATGAAGGGCTAAAAGCTTAGAATGGAATAGTTGAATCGAAATACGCAGTCATTCACTGAAGTGATACATCCCATATATAACTGGGGCGTTGTAGAATAGTTTTCAGAAATAAAAGTTTGTAGGAAATACAAAAAACAAGGCGTTATTCGCACTTCTTTGAAATGCTAAATAAATTGCTACGTTCAATTAATTTGGGATAAATTTCCTTCTTCAGAAGTGTGGGAGTTGCACCAGTGGTTCGTGAGCTCCCCATTGAACAACAAGAGTTATAATAAAATGTGCTCTTGCATTACAAGATTGATAATTTCATACCGATCGACTAGGTCTTCATCGAGTAATGTGGGAAGAGGTCCCAAGTTTTCATCCTCTCCTCATTTTTTTCTTCTCCTTTGAATTCATAGATTGTGGTATTACAACGGATTTAGAGACCAGCAGCCTTGCGAAGATAATGATTTGTTCAGTAGTACCGTTTCTTATCATGCAAATGGCAAAAATCTTTCCATCCTCTTCCGGGGAACGCATCGCAATCTTGACTGCTCTCAGTGTTTCTGTTGTATTCTTATTATTGTACTTCATTTATCAGGTACGCATGCATGAATATCTCTATACATGAACTGATAATATTATTGCTGATATATATATTAATGTCTTTGAAGTATCCATGTAAAATATTTACTGTTAAAACCTTACAGATCTTCCATCCCTGGGTTCAAAAAAGAAGATTAGAATTTGTGAAACATGGGCATTTGATTTCAAGCATTTTACAACACGTCCAAAAACATGCACTGGCGAGAGTCCTCACTGTAAAAGGGGCACCGAATATACCCGCTATAAGAAGGTAAGGTCTCACCGAATATTGCCCATGGTGATACTGGTAAAGTCTCCAACTTTGTTCACCAAACAATCCTTCTTTTGCTCACCAAATAATGCCTTTGTCATAAGTATCTTATTTGATAGCAATAAATGAGTTTCAGAGTGAGCCGAAGTTGAATAACTGAAATACTTTATTTAGTGATCAAATGTGATAAGAGAATTAGCACTCGAAACTCTAAACATGTGGAACTATAAGAGAGAAAATATACTAAGAGGAGCACATGGTAACAACTCCCCTTCAATAATTTTAGAACTGTTCTTTTGAATTCTATGAAGGTCCCCATATATTGTTTGATTGGTTACTAATTAAATATTGCAGGCTATTTGAGGAAGTAGACGAAGATGGTGACAATTATATATCACTTACTGAAGTAAAAGAACTTCTTCATGAAATCAAATTCATATCAACAGAAGACGATAAGGATAAAGGAACAGCAGAAGTGATGAAACAGTTTGATCTGGATCATGATGGGAAGATTAATAAAGATGAATTCATCAATGGCTTCACAAAATGGATTGAGGAGATCAGGTCAGTGCATAAACAAAACACCGAAAGATCATTGGAGAACATATATGAGGTAACTTATCATCTACCTAAGTTGGCCCCAAAATTTTCATTTCTTCTTTCAATTCTTGAAAGTAGTTGCTTATTCGTTACAATCTGATCCTCCATGCCAAATGAGGCCTATATATATCATGCTTGCCCGGATTATAGCTAGTAAGAATATTAACGTAATGCATCGAGTGAAAAAGATCATTTGCCTTTTTCATATCAATTTACGCTCATTCTCCTCAATAATTTACATCTGCTTCTATTGCTGAGCAGGTCTTTCAGCCTTGGATTGAAAATAGAAGACGAGAACGTGAAATGAAGAAGAATTTAATGTCAGAAGTACTAAGACATGTCCAAAGCAATTCACTTGGAAGCATTGTCACAAATGATGGCATGCCTGATATACCAAATATTAGAAGGTTAGGACTACAACTCGTCTAATTGAAGAGTAACAGTGCCCTTTTTCAAAGGGTACTGTAGACTAACCCAAAGGGGTATTGTAGACTAACCCTTTGGTTGCTATATATACATAGTGTGGCGCTATCCACACACCTATTTTTACCTCTTACACATCCCTCTCAATTTTTGGCCGTGGGAGCTTTAATGAATTGAAAAAGATCAATGAGAAAAAAATTAACAAGTGTGTTGGAGGTAAAAAGGGATGTGTGGATAGCATTACCCTATACATATATGGAACAAAGTTGTTCAGATTTATTTTATCAACGGAGGGAAGAGGAAACTTGGCACTTCTTTGAGCATTGGGGAAAGAGAAATACAGTGTTAATAGTATAACGTATATGTTAGTAGATGTAGTTTGTTAGTTTGACATACATTGTTGGTTTATATTTCGTAACGTAACAGAGTTTAAACTTAGTACAGTATCGGAGCTTTGTTTGGTAGTCTAATATAACTATAAATAATCAGCAATGTAATATGTAGATGCAAGTAGTATTACTCTATATATGCTTTTTGCTGTGGTGTTGAGTCTACTGACCACTGTCTTCAACATGGAAAAACAGGTTGTTTGAAAAGATTGATCTCGATGGAAATAATTGTATATCGCAATCAGAATTGAGAAAACTGATCGGAGATATCAAGTTTGGTAAGATTCCAGGAGACGTGGATGAATCAGTTGTAAAATTGATAGAAGAACTTGACACAAGTGGAGACCAGTTGATCAGTGAGGAAGAATTTGTTACTGGATTAACAAAATGGATAAACAAATCCAACGATCAAGCTCCTCCGTCACTTGAATCCGAGGACGATATCTACCAAGTAAGCAGCTCTGAGAACTATAAGGGAAAGGAATTGAATTGAACACCACTTGTCTCCTTGTCTACAAATTATCGTCTAATACAGTTTTCTGCATACGTGTCAAACTGTAATAGTTTAAATGAATACGACTTTTAAGATTATTTTTTCAAAATGATTATGCAGAGGACTTGGGACGAAACAGATAAGTTGGTGGATGAAGAGTACAGCAGTGGTGGAGCTGTCGACAAGTCAAAATGGGCTTGGATGAAAGCTATAACATATTTGGTTGTAGGGTTTGTTGTATTGGCAGTTTTAGCAGAACCTCTTATAGATAGTGTTCAGGATTTCTCCACAGCTGCAAGCATCCCTTCTTTCTTTGTATCATTTGTGCTAGTCCCCTTGGCAACCAATGCCAGACAAGCCGCTTCAGCAATTAAGGCAGCTTCAAGAAAAACACCAAGAACCACATCTCTGACATTTTCTGAGGTTTGTCATTGTGCCCAATTTTTTATATTTTCTTTCTCAATTAGAAAATACCTAATTAATTGTGTTATTTTCATTATTTTACGTGGAACATATTTATTTGGATGCAGATTTATGGTGGGGTGTTTATGAACAATGTTCTGGGATTTTCTGTGCTGCTAGCCATAATTTATGCTCGTGAAATGACTTGGGATTTTTCTGCTGAAGTTTTAGTAGTTTTAATTGTCTGCACTGTGATGGGTCTGATTGCAAGCTTCGTCTCCACCTTTTCCCTTTGGACATCATTCTTGGCTTACCTTCTATACCCAATTTCATTGCTTTTAGTCTATATTCTCAATGATGTTCTCAATTACACTTGAATTAAACCCACCAAGGATGTAATATTTTTGTAAATTAGCAAGAACATGTCTTTGGAATTAACTGTTACATTCTCTGTTCTTTATAAAGGCCAATGTTTTCCCAATTTTTTGTTAGATTAGATTTAATGATGCATTAATACTTTTGATAGAAATAAATTTCTAGAACAAAAGTAGCTAGGATTTTCAAATAATGTGGTCACGTTTCCTGTGATATCCCACATCGCCCAGGGAAGTGATCCTTAAATGTATATTCCCATCCCTACCTAGCACGAGGCCTTTTGGGAGCTCACTGGCTTTGGGTTCCGTAGGAACTCCAAAGTTAAGCGAGTAGCGCGCGAAGTTCTCGTGTGAGTTCCCAGAAACAAAACCGTGAGGGCGTGGTCGGGGCCCAAAGCGGACAATATCGTGCTACGGTGGTGGAGCGGGCCCGGGAAGTGGTGCCACCCGGGCCGGGATGTGACATTTCCGACCCAAAATAACTTCATTGGACCATTTCATCAAGAACTTGGTGGGCAACTGCCGATTCCTAACGACATTCATCAAAAGCTTATGGCAACGTATATTGACCACTACTATGATATGTGGAGTTTTGTCGAGGGTAGATACAGGAAACTAATGACTAATGTCAAAGAATGCCAAAGCGTGTAAATTGAGGCATTTCATCGAGCACTTGATGCGCACAACTCAGACATTTCATCGAACACTTAGTGCACATGATTGGATTGAATTTAAGTTTTTTTTTTTTATATATGAAAAAAAATATATTTAATTATAACGTTATAAGATAGTACAAATCAAACATGAAAATCAAGAATTAAAGTTACATCTTAAAAAAATACACTATTTAAAAACACTATCACGGAGCATAAAAAAATAGAACATAAAAATACAAAGCCCCGAAAAAAATATAGATTACAATTTAGGCATTTCCAAGGTTTTAAAAGACGCTAGACGCTAGGCGCTAGTCGGGTGGTGGGTTAGGGCCTAGCGCCTGGGCGGCCAGGCGGGGTCTAAGCTGACTAGGCAGATTTAAGTAGATCCATTATATTTCGTGTAAATAAATGTTGGTTTATACTTAAAATATACATAATTTCATCATAAACTACAAAATAGAATAACATATATATTATGAAGTATTGGAACATAATGAAAACATGGGAACAAACATATAATGTGTGTTCATTTAAGTATTCAACAAGTCTCTTATAATTTAAATAAAATGCAAAATGAAGTTATCTATTTTCTATTTAAGTGAGTCGCAACAAGTCTCTTACTGTAATTCTTGAAGAAATGCCTTTTTTGAGTGTTTGAGACTCTAATTTTTCTGTTTACTTTTACTAAACCTTTCATGTATTATATTATGCATTGTGATGATATTTAGGGTTTAGGGTTTAGAATGAAAAACGAGCTGTGTGGATTTTTTTCTTTATTTACTAGGTGCTGGTAACTGATCAATTTTGCAAAAGTAAAGCGAATGAGAGGGAGAAAAAAAATCCAATTCAGGGGCAATACAAAAGAGATATTGAGGACTTGAACGTACTTGTTTTCGGTAACAAAAAATTGCGTAATTGTGCTTGAATTGGTTGTTTTACAAATTACTTCAACGGGTTTTTTTTTTCCCTTCAAATTACTTCATCTGGTAATGTCCTAGGTGACGTTGTTGTACTAAGAGTTGTCCAAAGAAATGTCTACTAGACATATTTAGGTATAGCAATGGAACCTGAGAGACATGCTTGTAATGTCTAAAATGTGCGAGTTACATTGTGCTTTTCAGCTCGATGCCCTGCTTGTGCAGTTGATTTTTCAATTGCAACCGAACCTGTAACCCTGGAGTTGAAGCGGTTTTCCTTGCACTCTGCATTGCATTCTAAAACCAACTGTTGTTTTGATTCATATATCCCTTGGATTTTCATTTTATTCTAAAACCAACTGTTAGAGTAATATTTATAGTTGGAAGTTTTCACTTGTATGGAAAACAGCATGCTCAAATGTCATCTTAGGTGACGGCAATATTGTTGAACGTATTAAGAAAACGAAAACGCCTGATGGACACTCCTACATTCTTTTAGCTCTTTCCTGCTTTCCTTCTATTGTTTGTCTATCAGATGATATAAGTCCGCTTGGCTATGATCTCGTGTTAGGAACCGGATTACAGTAAATGTTGGACTAATGCTTGCATGTTTCTCCGTGGCCTTGTTTATGCGTGGGATTAATATATTTCGCTCTAGAACTTTGGTAGATGCATTTGTTCATATTTTATCTGCTACATGTGATTCGAGGATTGTCTCATGATGAACTGAACTTTCTCAACTTTTGTTATTATGTTATATGTTATATAACATAACCCCATTCGTTATGCCAAAATAACCTGGAGAAGTTTACAAAGTATTGCATGACTGACATACCGATGATGATTTAAATCATTACCTAAGCTCGTTATATTTTTATTTTTGTATTAGCCTGCTGAAGAAGAGGTTGATCTCTGCATTTGTGATGGTGGAAGTGTGGTGGTCCTTCTTAGCCGCTATCCCTGCAGTAGTTGCAGGACAAGCGTTTCGAGTGAAGAAAAGGCGTGGCGAAGAGCGGAGATTAAAGAGCGCTAGACGGAGGGAGAAGAGTTCTGATGAGATTTTTGTCTGCGAAAGGGTATGCACGTCGAAGAGAATGCTGAAAAAGGTTGGTGCATTCTCAAAGGACCCTATTCCTGATACTTGCGTTACCGTCTGCGGTGTATCTGAGCTCGATGCGTGTGCTGATACGTGTGCCCGCACTGTCTGCGTAAACCAACATCAAGTACCAAATTGGAACGACATCTGCCTTAGGAGATGCCAGAGTGAGTGTTTGAAACTCTCTTCTTCAAATCCTCTTTAAATGAGAAACAATGTATTTACAAGGGGAGGTTTTTTTATTTTTTCTAAATTATTATTATTATTAAATGAGAAACAATGTGTCAATTAGCTAGTTTAACTAGAGATAACGTGCCGCTGAGTATTACGATCTAGTGATATTGATGTTTGCTTATAAGTGAGAGATTTTTTTGTTCGATTATCGCCAAATGAAAATTTGAACTACATTATTTACTAACTCATTGTGAGATTAAACCAGCCTTTTTTTCTTAGTGTAGATAGTATAGTTTATCTGAAAAAAATAAAGATAAGCTTATTAGATAACGAAAGTTTTTAATGATATTAATCATGAGGTTTGTACTCTAAAATAGTTTTTCAAGTACGTTAGGCAGACGTGTGTGTTAGTTTCCATTGGAGTAGGATTCTCTTTCTTCTTTTTTTCTCTCTTCTTCCTTTCCCTTCTATTTGAACGGTCACGATTAAGTCACGTCAATATCTTATATTAATTTTTTTTTAACAAAAGAAAAACAAAATAAGAGAATGTGAGAAGAGGGAATGGAAGGGGATGGAAAGAGGGGGGAGAGAATCCTAATTCGTTTCCATTTTGGACTAGGATTCTCTTCTTTTCCATTCCCTCCTCTCACATTCTCTATTTTCCACTAGGTTTTGTACTTACCTAGTGGTCTTTATTCCGCTACGGGACGTAGGGATAGTTTCCGGTCCGTCCTGGGCGACGGTTTGGTGTTGGCATAGGGTTTGAAGTGTGTTTCCTCTGGCTATTAGCACAGGGACGGGGAGCCGACATGGAGCCGAGAGTGTATTTTCCTCTGACTGTCTGCTAAGAGACGGAGAGCCGGCATAGGGCCTGGGGGTTATCGGACATTCACTAGTGATTATTATATATACAAGTTATGATTTGAGACATTGCACATCATGTTAGGTTTCGGAAAACCTATGTTTATCATAATATATACGTTTTCATAAAACCTGGGGGTTAGTATGTTGATAAATGTTTTATTATTATATATATATATATATATATATATATCAACTTGGTCCACTTATGTTTGTTTTGCGCCCCCTTCAGGACTTAGAATCGAGGCATACAATCCCAGCGTCAAGGTACTTCCGCATCGGCATCTTCGAGTCCTCTCAGTGTAGGACCCATTCTTTTATTTATTCAATTTTTTATTATTTTCCTTTAGCATTTTAGATTAGATGTGTGCTCTGAAAACGTTCTTTAAATTCATATTCATTATTCTTTTATATTTATAAGTCTTATCTATCCCTTATTTTCAGCATTTGTACTTAATAAATGGCTTTCATCACCCTCGGGTGTCAGCCAGCACATGTCTATCCTGGTATTCAGGGAATATCGGGATCGGGGCGTGTCAGATTAGTATCAGAACATGGTTTTGTTCAGAGCATACTTAGGACCTTCTGTCACTGTAGTAGTGTGTCAGTCATGATGTCATTTGATGTCACAACTTCCGAATTTGGTGTCATTCTGCGCAGTTGTGCAAACCTTTCTCTGTTTGAATTGTCACATTCTGGTTGAAACACAAGAATTCGTGTCGGGATTGTGCTTTAGTAGTGATGAAGTGGATTGTTGGATGACTTTCAACATCAGATTGATACTCTGCAACATGCATTCCCTGGGAATGGTGGCAGAGTCGGTGTTACTTGGAAGCGACATGTTTTAGAAATCTCAATTTGTGAAAGTCTGGTCAAGACCAGTTATAGATCTGAAATGACGATGCCACTTTGCAACATGTGTTCCCTAGGAATTGCAGGCGTAGTGGGCTTTACATCAAAATCTTGGGAAACGGAAAAATCTTTGCAGTACGAGTTGGTTAAGATCAACTAGAAATCTGAATTGGTGATGTCACTCTGCGACATGCATTCCCTAGGAATGGCGGGCAGAGTCATATCTCTTTGGAAATTACTCGAAACTTTCGAAGTGCGTGTTAGAGAAAGTGAGTAAGTGCTAGTTGTGGCAATGGTTAGTAAGTGGTAGTTGGTGGGAGCAAATCAATGTTCTCGGACTCATTACCGCTGAAGAAATTTGTGTGGATCGTTAGAACAATTCTTGGTAATTATTCTATTAATATCCTTCTTACTTCAACCCCGAAGTCAAGTTCCTTAACCTTTGACCGTCAGCTTTACACCAAATTCTTCGGGTGTTGACTTCGTTTAAATTAGATAATTTCTTAAGTGACTCTTTGGTAGCAGACTTTATTCTCACCAATTTCCAAAAAGAGTTGTGATTCTTGTTGTTGTAGTTAGACTTGGATGATGAAGATCCATACTTGTTTGGATAAACAGACTCCTTGAATTTCACCTGGGTCTAGTACTAGGCGGTAAATCCTAGCTCTTTGTCCATGAACTTTTTGGTAGAGGTGAACTTAGCCTTTTGCTTGTAACCCAACTGATCAGTGCTCTTGTCCACTAACTGTTCAACCTTGTAATGTTTCAGTTGGCTTGAGATTCCACCATATTCATCATTGTACGAAGATCGAGCTTTACTCTGAACTCCTCTGGACTCATTGAGCTTTGGTTTGCTTAAGGGCATCACTTCAAGGTAGCCAATTGTGTCACTGCATGCATATGCAGGATGCTTTGTATCTTTCTTCTTCGTCATTACGTTGGTTCAGAGGTTCTACGTTTAATTTTTGAACTTTGAAACAACCCTCACAAAGTATTTTGAATTTCGAAATGTCTTTGGCCTCATCAAACCTCATTAGCAGTTTTTAACTATTCTTTAAGCTTAGACTTATTTCCTTTTTGGCTAAGAAACCAGTCAACCTTTTTGCAATGATTAACCAAATAATCGTAAATAGTGACTTCTATTTCTGCATCTTCACCTTCCTTCACTTATTCGTTTCTTAATGTAAACTGGGTCATGCCGGACAATACACCAAGGGTGAAAAAAAAAAAAAAAAACGTTTGTTCTTGGTTTGGTTTATGGTTCAAATCTAAATATCTTGTACTCTAGATTTAATGGACTGTTTTGATCCTCAAATTCTTGAGTGTTCTTTTAGCCTTCTCGACATAGTTTCTCACTCAAACAGGGAGAAATTCACAATTGATTGATTCGATGGAAGGGCGCACCCAATTCTTATCGATTTGGACAAAATGTTAGAAGCATAACCTTTTCACAAGCTTACCATACTAACCATAAAGAGTTCCACGTGGGTGTGAGGTTGGAGCCGTCTTCTGGTAAGAGATTGGTGAAAATTGTAGTGCAGGTGATTAGCAGATTGCATCACTATCTTTATGCTGAATTGAATGGTCACCACTCATTGTCTTGCTACAATTCATAACCATCATTTCGTACTCTGGTAGAACTTTTTGATGATGTAATGTGTTCGCATCAACGCAGCTTTCCACTACCTCACACCTAGATCCTTCGGTTCGCTAGCACATGGGTGTGAGATTTGAGCGGTCTTGTAGTAAAAGTTGGATGAAGGTTTTAGTACAGAAGGTTAGCGGATTGTATCACCATCTTACTATAATTCATAAGCATTACATCGGTTCTTTTCCGACGATATGTGTTCGTCTCAACACACATCTTTCCATTGCTTCACTTCCAAACCTTATTGTTGAGAGTATGTGGATGTCAAAACACTTATAGCAGATCTGTTTGGTGCACTCTGGAATGGCACCACAATGTGGTCAAGGCGAGAATCAGATAATCTTTACACTTCTTTCGAAAGGTGTGTACTCTCTTTTGCTTTTAGGTTGATCACTTGAGAGTCATTCTTTCCATCAACATTGACCTTGTTTGACTAGAAATCTGCAACTAAGCAAAAATGGAGAAGTGGTTTGAGCACTGCAACAACTCCCTAGAGATACTACTTGTTGGGGGAAGTGACTTCTCGTTTTCTGTTGCTTGGCTCGAGCTTTTAGGTCTACTACTAACATGGTAGCCACTCTTGAATCCCAAGGTACAGTTTTCAAATGAGTTCTTTGTTGGCAAAACACTAGAGTAGTTGGTCACATTTGGAAAAACTGAGGATGATAGTATGCTGGGTGCTGGATAAAATTTTACGACGGCAGTTTCTGTTTTGTTCGGTTTGAGTATGGCATTTTTTGCGACATGTTACAAGAGTTTTCTATTGGCTATACTAGTTGACAAAGGAGTATTGTGAACTGGTATTCAAAAGATCGAATTTACGACATATGAAATTGTGCACCCTCAAGAAATTACTGCTTGCTTACGGAGACAACAAATGTGTGATCAATATCGCGGGCGGCCAACTATGGTATTGAAAACTTATTTGTTGGGTTCGTTAAGCAAGTGCCCGTCTACGGTAGTTATTACGAATTTGCGATTGTTGGAGCTCGACCCAAAAACACACATTTTTTGGAAGTACGTGACATTCGTATACTTAGGCTAGACCCACTCTCATTTTCCAATTTTGAATTTCAATATACATATTTTAACTTCCTTTACTTTAGTTATTTTTTTTTGACGTTACAAATGTTTTGGGGGAAGTATTTCCGTTTTAAGTTTTAAGTTTAGCACGAATTTTTGACCTATATGTTAGTACGTATCTATTTTAACATTATCGTATTTGTGTACTTATTTTTGACCTTACGTCAATATATGTTTTCAGTTTTATATCTCTATAAAGTATGTTTCTACTTCTACATTGATGGGGAAGAAAGTAAGAGCTTGGAGGCATGATAAAGGATTTTGCAATCTGTTCGCGACGGTGTGGCATATTCTCTTTGATGCACCCACTCTAACTTGATTTGTTTTTATACATATATTCTTCTTCCTATTTTTGAGTTCTTCAGTGTAGCAAATTATTTTAAATTTTGGGACGAAATTCTTTTAAGGGGGGTAGATTGTAACAACTCATCCCGGGATTTACGGAAGAAAAATGATATTTTTGTATTTTCACTAAGTTTGGGGGATATTTTCCTTTTAAAAATGGTTTTTTGGGTCTTAATTGGTGAGTCCACGGGGCCCACCTCCTGATTTGTCCCCTAGTTCCCTTTCTTTTCTTTTTTTTTTGAAAAGTCTAACTCTCTCTCTCTCTCGCTTCTCTCTCAGTTCTCTTTTCTCTCTTATTCTCCCTCTGTGATCTTTCCCTTCTCTCTCTTGAAACCCTTTCACCCTCTGATCCACCCACACACACACCTTTACCATTTACCTGCAACACCATCACCATCA